AAAATAAAAAAAACATGAAATGTTATAAAAGTTAAAATTTTAAGCAGGTGTAGACAAAATATTACCTATGTCCGGAATGGTAGGTCTGAGTTTCAGTTAGCAAACAGTTCCATAAAGATAATTAAAATGCCTCTCACAAGCATTGGAAAAACTGAAAAACAAAGGGAAATCAGTACAATAGAGTAAAACACAACGAAAGCGATAGCAGAGATTCAACAACACTTTAAATAAAGTAGAAAAAAACAACACAAGAAAACACTCTGAGGGGCAGAAGGGCAAAAGCGCACGTCCTCCTCAAGGAGCGCGCACAGCAGCGCGGCGCACCGCCCACCGGCTGCATCTCGACGTGTTGGCGGGACGGTGTCGACGACTGTCGCGCCTGCACAGCCGCAGGTCCTGGAGACGCCCTTCCTCCTCGAAGAGCGCGCCCAGCAGCGCGGCGCACCGCGCACCGGCTGCACCGGCTGCATCTCGACGTGTAGGCGGGACGGTGTCGACGACTGTCGCGCCTGCGCAGCCGCAGGTCCTGGAGACGCCGCTCCTCCTCAAGGAGCGCGCCGCGCAGGAGAGCGATCGGAGAGCTCCCTGAGAACGCTCTACTTTACGGCCGCACCTACCGCGAGGATCCCGCGAGACGAGAAGCCGCGGGTTGCGACGTGACGGTGCTGGGGATGATCCTCAGTGTTGACTCGCCATAGAAAAACAATAACTGTGACGTGTATGTTACAGTTTTAGTTGGGTTGGCCAACCCTGCGTTGCCTTGGCCGGCAGCGCAGGGACTCACTCGGTAGCCTCGTCATTGCCTGAATCGGCTGCGGCGAGACGCCTGGCGGGTAGGCAGCCCCAATACAAATCAGTATTGCGGGCTGGCCTGCCTTGCCCCTGACAGCTGAGCGGCGCGCCGCTCCACCTCAATGAGTGCGCCCAGCAGCGCGGCGCACTGGCTGCACCGGCTGCATCTCGACGTGTTGGCGGGACGGTGTCGACGACTGTCGCGCCTGCGCAGCTGCAGTGCAGGTCTTGGAGACGCCGCTCGTCCTCAAGGAGCGCGGAGAGCGATCGGAGAACTCCCGGAGCTAGCCCGGAGAAAGATCTTCTTCCGTTCCCTACCCCTCTCCACCTCACCATGCTTCACCTGCGGCGGCTGCAACGCGACTACCGCGACGAGAACCCCGCGAGACAAGCCGCGGAAAAGACAAGTGAGAGGCGCTCGAGGCGCCCGAGCGACGCCTGATGGCGGGTCAGAAAGGCGGCCAGCATGGCGCCGAACACGGCGCAGCCAACCGTCAGCTTCAGCTCGGCCACGGAGCAGGTGGTGGTAGTGGCGAGCATGAGCCGGCCGCGCAGCGGCAGCTGCGGGTCCACCTTGTCCAGGCACGGCGCCAGGCGCAGCGCCACGGGGCGGTGAAAAGGGGGAGGGGAGGGGGCGACTTAGGGGATGAGGTCTAACCGAGTCCTTGGACGATGCTAGTGGTATTAAAGCATTCCGGTAAGGCTGAAATCCAGAAGAATGCGGGGAAATAGAAAACGGAAATCACTATCCGTTAACATGGTAACTTCTGTTTTCTCGTTCCCCGTATTCTTCTGCATTTACCGGAATGCTTTACTAAGAAGCCACCAGGACGTGCGCTATTTTGAACCAGAGTGTTTTCTTGTATTGTTTTTATTTTCCACTTCAATTTAAGTGTTGTTGCATCTTGCTGTTTCTTGTTCCTCTGTTAGCCAAAACACTATATTTTTATGTTTCCATTACTCCGTTACCACTCTAGATGTCTACACACTAAAATCTTACCGGTATGAACTTTTTTGTTTATATCCTAACGAGTCCCGCAAACCTGCTCGGCCTACGCATTTTCTAATACGCCAGTATGAAGAAATTTGATCATACTGGTGTACTTGAAAATATGTGTACGCCGAACATGTTAACACAACTCAGTAAGCTATGAACAATTAAATTCATAAGATTTTAGTGTGGAGGGCGAAATGAGAGAAGAATAAACGTGCTGAAGGTTGGAGTGGACAGGATCTCTGAGAACTTTGACGAAACGTACCTTGTTTTTTTTTTATTTGAAAAAGAAAAGATTGGCGTTGTGATGAGGTTATGAGAGCGCACGGCAGGCGACGTAGGTGCTGATGCGTCGTTGTCGTTGCGTCGTTGCGTCGATTGTTACGTCGAAGGCAATCAACATAAAACAACAACAACATCTACCACGATACCCGCCATCTTATTCACACTCGCAAGTCTTTTTCTGAAAATAGTTGCCTTTGTTAGTCGTTTCGTCTAGTTTCGTTCACTCGGTTGTTTTCCAAAAGTGAGTGTCCTATATCGTGTAATTGCGTAAAGTGTACGTGTACGTGAATAACACACTCACAGTGACTGAAGGGTTCTGTGATGTCTGTGTCTACTTCATCATGGTGGAATTATCATGATTTATCAGTTAGGCAGGAAAGACAACAGGATTTTAACCTGCGGATGAAAGGTAGTACAAATGCAAGTTAATTATTCTGTAAAAAACAGAAATCGTCAGTGTGTTTCACCTACACAAGTTACCAAATCGAACTAGTTATTAGTTCAACTTAGTAGTTTTTGTGATTGTTGCCCATAGAACAAGAACAAGCTTGGGAGGAGGATGTATATTGAGCCCTCTAGTATCACCAACATTATGAAATATATTAATTTAAAAATATTTGACTGGTTATGACTCAATTTTAAATTAAGTTTTCAATACCTCCCTCAATGTAGTATTTCTGGGGCTTACCTAACATCCTCTAAATTTTGTTGATAGTTTAAACAATAACAACAATTACATTAAGATTACAATTTTTTTTGTAAGGTTACGACAATTATCATAACATTACGAGATTTCTCAGAACTTCTAATACGGCAATTGTGATAACCTTACGGTAACTTACCATAACTTTGCGACATGAAGTTGTAAAGTTACGACTTCATGTTGTAAAGTTACAGCAGTGATGAAGTCATAAGTTTACCTCACCGTATATTTATGATATGAAACCATAAACTTACGACCTTTTTGTAACCAGGAGAGTACGACATTCAACGTGTTAATAGATCACAAGTGTGAATAGTAGGAGTACGGTTTTTGTCATGGAAATTTTTTCCGTGAACTCCACGACTATTTTTCACAGTGATGTAGTTTTGAAGGCTATTTTGCCACTGCCAATTTTGATGGCAATAATGTAAGAGTTGGGGGGGATCACAACCACGATCCAGACTTGCAGAAACTTGACCTGATTAGGTTAAAAAATGAGCTGCGACGCCTGGCTAGGGACACTGCCGATGACTACCGACAGATCTACGATGCTGCGAGTCAAAGGTAAGAAGTCAGCCCTAGTTATGCAAAAGAAAATGTGTATTTAACTGCAATCATTGTTTTTAATATTTTCATTTTTACAAGCACCCAATTGGAGCACGGGCATTCGCTTTTCCAGCTGCATCCCAAATGATGCAGCGTATACGGAGAGCGCATGTTCCTGCCGTTCCGGCTTCCCTCCTGACGCTACAAGAGACACTGGGCCACCCCTCCTGGGTGAATTGGGCCCAAGATCTGCAGGGCCACGACTTTTTCCGTGAATCGGTGGTTGCAGTGGATGGGATAGAGTGTGCTGTGTTTGTGTCGCACACATTTAGTGACCTAGTGAGACGCGCAGGGTGGCACGCTCACGCTGATGGCACATTCAAGTCCGTTCCACTGCACCCAGCCGTGGAGCAGCTGTTTAGCCTGCACTGCATCGACGAGGACGCACATGGCCAGCGCAAGCAGGTACAAAGGGATAATAATGTTTCCTAAATTTAAGTTAATTGTAGGAATGTTTTGCCATTACGTTGGGTTGCCTATGCACTGGCTGCAGGGGCTGCAGGCGCGGGGCGGGTTGCGGGGGTTTG